CGCATTTCAATGACATAAAGATCACATTAAATGCGTCATGGCCGTTCAGACTGAAGTCGCATTGCAAAACAATCGGATATGTATCCCTTAGGACCACATATGAAAGTGGCCTGGGCCAGATTTGAAAAAATCAGATTTGTGCTGTGTTCACACTGTCATAAAGATCGGATCACATTTGGGCAAAAAGATTGGATTTGAGCCACTTCAGCCTGCAGTGTGAATGTAGTCTAAGAGGTGCACAGCGAGTGATAAACAGGAACATGTGTGCTCCATTAAACTGAGTGACTTTTTTTTTTTTTTTGTCTTCACAGTCAATAAGTACCTTGAAAGTGTTGTGTTTATATTGCATTTAAGTTATTTTTATGTTCAGACTAACACTGAAAGTACTAACTGAGCCCCACATTTACCATTAAGTGCCTTTTTTTAGTAATATCAAATTCACCAGCACCTTAAATGTGCATATATTTCTTTAATATTCATAAATATCTCTGTTTTTAACTGTTGGTCAGGCAAGAAGAGACAGTTTTAATGGGCATTTTTCAGTGTTTGCTGCCTTTTTATATACCAATGAATTGTTCATTTGAGAAAATAGTAGGTAGATAATTGGTATAAATAATCATTAGTTGCAGCCTTACATTTTGCAGATATGTTTTCTGTACCATTTTTTTGTAGGTTTTTTTATTTCTGCAAACAGACACCAGTGGTTTTCAAATGTGTGTGTGATCTCAGTGACAGCTGACTCTTGGGAACGGAGACCAGACAGAGGGATGTTTATAAAATGTATTTACACGTCCTAAAGGCCAGATGGAGCTGTTGGCATGATTATTTCTCTGCTGTCTTCCAACACTTGGACCCAAACTATTTAACTTTTCTAAAAGTTGGTCTGGTTTTCTCCACAGGTCCGCTGAGGCAAACTTTTACCCACAATCCCCTGCAGCAGACTCCTCCTATGGCCGCAGCAGCAGCTAAAGACAAGTCAGACTCTGGCAAGGTGAGGCCATGGAAGGACACAGTTGTTTAGTCTGACTGGTTCACAACTGGGAAGCATAAAGAATTATGTACATAGTCATAGATGGAAGAGTGAAGTTGGCAAGGGTTGTGATTATGTGTGCATTATTCTAATTAAAGTGTAATATCTGCCTCATAACAACCACACTGGTGTGTATATTGTTGTGATTTTCGCTTACACAGCACTGAATCAGCTTCCTCATAAACACCCTTAGAGCAAAATGAAAGAACGTTGTTCACATGTTTCCTAACTTTTATTATAAATACATTAGCATCTCAACTGTGTCAAACTCGTTTACAGTTAACAGCCCGTGTTTAAATCGGATGCTATAGAAAAAGTTAATTTGTGTAAAAATAGCCCTTTACTGGACGTTGCATCTGACATTATAAAAATTTTATAACTTTGTCATCAACATGTGTTAATATGAAAACTGTTATTGTTTGTGCAAATAGCTCCTTTTTCTATGTTCAGCACTGTTTTCGGTTACAAAGATGTTCTGTGTGTTAAAAAAAACACATTTGTAATTTCCATTTTGCAGTACAATCAAAAAGTCACGTGATTATCACAAAATATTTGATATATTAATTAAATAATTCTACTAATGCATACAGTTCTGTATTTTAAACAGGTGTTGATTTCTTCAGGCGTGCGTTAAAATGATCTCTCTGAAGTCTCAGTCAGCCAGAGTGAAATCTTGCCATCACGTCCCCGGGCACCTTCGTTCATTCATGCATTAATATTAGCACCGGAGTGATGATTGACAGGTCAGAGAGCTGGGTCCAACTCAAGCCCGAGTGTTCGTCCATTGAGGCCTCATGGAGTCAGTGACGCACCACAATGAGTTCAGGTTGAGCCCCTATGATGGTACGTTGTCAGTCATTCCGCAGGCTGTGAAAACTATACGTCTTTACTCTGCCTTGTCGTCGTCGTCGTCCATTTCAGTCAGAACAGAGTAGCACACCTTCTGAATCAGCAATCCACATTTAGCTGAAAGACGTGGAGACAGGAGGAAGGTTAGGGCAACCTGTACTTAAGCTGTCATCAGCGAACGTTTGGTTAAAAAGCAACATCTTAGTGCTGCATTCAAGCTCTGCTGCAAAGTAGATCAGCAAAATTCACGACATGGTTTTCTTTCTGTGAATAGATGACTTCAAATTCCTTGTATTTCATATAGCCTGCTATGCATGTAATTATAGATTACCACATACAGAGATTTATCAGCCCTTTTGATTGCTTTCTTTGTATCCTTTAGGGATATTAATATACTACAAATGAGTTAAACCAAGCAACAATTACAAAGCAAAATATATACAATATTTAAGAAGAGTAAAATAAATACTGAGAGGAGGACTAACCTATGGCTACAATCTTAGTTTACATGTTGAATGAGCCTGTACAATGATTTTATCTTTCTATTGGTGCAAATAAAGTAGATAATATTGGGGTATTTGCTTTACGAAAAAGGACAAAATTAGTCTTAACTAAACATGGAACTACTTTGTTCAATACAAGTTATGAGGTAGCACAAAAAACAAAGTACAGTCCTCTTACCAATGAAGCGCCGTAGCCACAGTGGCCTCTTGTGAGCCGGAGTGTAGCAGCAGAGGAAGTAGACGGGCACGCCTGACAGGCCGATACCGATGCCGATCAGGGAGTTGATGGTGTCGCTGTAGAGTGGCACCACCACCAGAAAGATGGTGAGGAGACAGAAAACGATGGGGTAGAAGAGACTGAGCTGTGGGAGGAAGAAAGTTGAGATGATGATCTGAATACCCACATCAAATATGGAAAAGTACATTTAGTAAGAAGGTAATATCTATTTTAGTAAGCTCACAATCTGGTGCGGCAACAGGAGTAAAATGTTTAACCTAATATTACCTTTAGGGGTCTGTGTCTGTTTGGCTGCTTCCAGCGTAGATACAGTTGCCCCAAAATGGACAGACCCACAAAGAACCAGTAGCTGAAGCAGTAGTAGTTTATCAACCTGAAGACGTCTTCTACACACAGGTATATCAGAGCCATGATGCCCTGTGGACACGTTCGACAAACAGTGTGAGTCAGAGTAAGAAATGCAGGAATGAATGGAAAGACAGAATCCATGCCAGCTAAGTGAAACATTTAGACAACCGAAAATAAAAGGATGTTAAGAGGCGACTGACGTTGAACAATAGAGCGGGGATGGGAGTGTAGCGGTAGACATGGATCATGCACAAGTAGTCGGGCAGGTGGCCCTCTCTGGAGCCCACGAAGAACAGCCTTTAGAGAGACAAAAACATGCACCAGAGTGGTGACGATGGGGCTTGATGATGGACGAGAAGTTTATGAATAGTTGCAACAAGTGTAGAAATTTAAGGCTAAATGTCTCACCTGGAGGCGGCCAGGATGGAGGCGTTGAGTCCTCCGAAGCAGGAAAGGGCCACAGCAAAGGGGATGGTCCAGTTCATCACACCAAACACCTGATCCGCAAATGTCTAGAAAGAAGGGATGGAAGAGACTTTTAACAAATGCTGCACTTTATCAACACACTGTTTCTTAGTCAGAGCTGAAGCAAAATGATTTGTCGAGGATGACAGATGCTTACCACAGCTACAGCATCGCTTTCTAAGATTGCATTGATGGGGAGGATGGTGTAGTAAGCCACGTTGGTCAGAATGTAGATCACTGTCACTATGGGCATGGAGATGGCGATGGCCAGAGGCAGGTTCCTGTAATTCACACAAACAAACAGCAGAGGGAAGCAAACTAGATAAGATATAGAGACCGTCTTCAATAAGAGTGATGAAATGGTTCATCAGGAGTGTCAGGGTCAAGAGCTGATCGACCCTGTGGATAGGGATGAGAATGAGGTGTTTGTAAATGAATCTCCCTGGGAATTCTTAAGGAGGCTTGTGATCCAATCACATGTACCTCAGTTCATCAGTGCTTTTGCTGTATGAGTCACAGTAAAAAGCCTTAAACACCCCCCCACACACACACAATCTTTCATTGTGGTTTCCTAAAAAATAAATAAATAACATGCCTTTTCCCTCCCTTGTTCCTCATCTGTCTGCCCAGTTTGTTGCTTATTGACTGACATTTCTGGAGAGCGATGATGTTGGCGTGCAGCTCAAAGCCCCACTGTGCTTAAATACAGCCTCAGAGCTACTAGCATGACTGGATACTTGTTTTGACATAGTTCAGCTCTCAATAGAGACAGAATGGTTACTCATTTGCAAACACTCACACTGGCACAGCTGGTGGAGTAAAGAAACTGTTAAATTGTTTCAAAGCATCTTTGTTGTTTTAGGTACACGGGTAAAAGAACAGGATGAACTAGCATCAGCTTTGGCTCCTGGCCACCTCACCGCTCGGGGTTTTTGATCTCCTCTGTGACAAAGTTGAGGGTGTCCCAGCCAGAGTAGGAGAACAGGGCCGAGTACAAAGCCAGAGCGATGTCCCCTGGGTTCTGAGTTGAGCCGTCGAACATGCCCCTAAAGTTCTCTGTGTGACCTGGAAGCCACCAACACAATTATGCAATTAAGTTATTTTAATCATTTCCTAGACTTGATCCATAAATGTTTGAAAAATATTAACATAATTAACTAGCCAGTAGCAGATGTGTAAATGTCTTTCTAGCATCTATGAACTGACAAGATATTGCAAAGGATTTCAAATGTAAGACAAGAGTTGGCGATGGCCTGAGCACCTTGTCCGATTTTCACCAGGCCGGTGAGGATGACGGCGATGAGAGCAATGACTTTTGCATAGGTGAAGATGTCCTGGACCCTGGTGCCCCACTTCACGTAGGCACAGTTCACAAAGGTCAGCAAACCTGAGAAGAACCACAGTTAAGACCATGAATATGTGTTCACACACACAACCTAATTGTTCAACAGTCCCAGTGGTGACATTTGCTCTGTAAACTGAGTGTGTGCCAGCATGTTTCTGTGTGACAATATGGCTGATTTAAGGAAACGCTGCTGCTGACTCAAGCAAACTGGCCCGTTGTTTTTCAAATGAGGAAACAGCTGAGTGCAGCACATACAACCTCACACACACAGCCACATTCACAAGGTCACATAGGTAGCGTCATAGAAGTGAGACAAAACTTAAAAGCTGCAGAGGAGAGTTGTGAAACCATGAGAGATCTAATGACATTGTGTATTTCAGCTTGAGCTTGCCAGTTGGTGACCGTTTCCACTGACTGAACCACAGCCTGAGCAGCTGTTTGGAGTGGTGTCAACTTCTGTGTCTTTCCTTATTGGCCTCCTTCCCTTTCAGCAGCATCGATGTTGTTGGAAAACATGTTTTTGTGTTTCTCCATGCGACTTATCTTTTGACCCGACCTCTTATCAGTAAAGATCCCTGCTAGGTCATAAATGTGGGGATAGTGAGAAACAGGATGTCCATCTTCTTGAACGAGTTCTAGTTCTAATGTGTACTTCATCTAATCTGTCAAAATTAATGAAAGTATTTCTTGCCAAGATCTTGCAAGTCTTGTAAGCACTGATAAGACAAATTCACCTGCCAACAAGATCAGTGGATGTATTTTTTAGTGATGTCAGACTTGTAGTACTCCCGCTCACAGACTGCGGTTATCAGTCCTCGATATCCTCCACATCACCCAGACATTAGAAGAAGAGACCAAAGCAGGATTACATCACTGCCCTCTCTCCCATGCTGGCCAGGGGATGAATCATAACATCTTCAATCACAGCAAGTCCGTTCCCAACAGGAAGCCCGGTCAAACACAACAAAGCGCTGCACCTCAGACAGAGGCGCTCACCGGTTGGGTGATGGAGAAGGGAGACTGTGCCACACAGATGTCGAGGGGTGGTGTGTTGACAGTGAAAGATTAGAAGGGTGGGAGGTGTGAGAGAGGGTTTGGGAGGCTGGCTGAGTGGAGGTCACGTGTGATCCAGATGTGAGGTGAAGTGCAGATCTTCAGAAACTCACTTGTTAGCTAACCGTGAACTCCAGTGCAAATCCATCACTCCAGATGTTGGCTGCTAAAAAGTGTATTTGAGAGGGTGAAGGGGAAGATCCTAAAAAAGCATGGTTGTGTTTTCTATCTGCGGTAGCTTTTCATTTTGTCTCATGACCTGGAGACCCAGGAAGCAAAGGTTTTACTGACTTTCCAACTTCAAAAAGTGACTAAAAATGACATTTGTGTGACTACAAAACGTGATTTTTACTTAAGTCATCAAAGTACTAAGTTAAGATTTTACATTAATAAAATTTTACATTATTTCTGGCTATCAGTGTTAAAATAAGATGCTAAGTCATTGATGTCAATTATGAAATACTAAGATTTACTGAGTAATTAGTAGATACTAACTCAAACCTCTGACTTAAATATACAGTAGGCAGTAGTTCAATTATTAAATCTTATTATCCTGGTTTAATATCTCATAATTTTGACTTTGTATTGTTCCTTTTTATTGTGCATAAATTTATTTTTAACAGTAGTAGTAGTAGTAGTAGTATAACCAAAAGTCCATCTTAACTGAACCAGAACAGGACAAATCCTAACTAGGGTTCTGCACCGTTTGTCTAACATCCTCGTCCCTGAGCAGCAGAGTTTCCCAGTTTGTCTTGTAACAGTTTTTCAGTGAGACCTTCACTGAAAGGAAGCAGGTTTCATTTGGGTTTGAGCTTCAGTCCTGTGCTGAGCTGTCAGTTAGCCTCTAAGGTCAGAGTCTCTACCTTAAGGACTTTACCTCACAACGATATCAGCACTTTCAGCTGCTTATCGGTGCGTGGCCCAATTGGTAATACTCAGGCATTCAAGTGTGTGTTCGTGCATTCATGCCTTTCAAAGGGCGGGCAGATGAAGGAGTAATATTTAATAGGAACTAGAGCAGTATATGTATTTTTTTTTTTTTAATCAGGGCTTATCTGTGAGATATAGACCTAAGGGCTCGCTGTGTGTCTGGCTTTTTGTCTCAGTGTCTGGTTGCCCGAGTGCTGTGAAGTCATCGTTTTGGTTGCCTCGGTGAGCTGTTTGTGAACTTCTTGCTAGTCTGTTTAATCTAGTTTGTCAGGTTTGCTCTTTGTGTCATTTTGTTCTAGTTACCTCAGCAATCTGGGCCGCATCCATACAGAAAGGTTACTGCTACATTTAAGAATAGGTTGTTTTTTTGCTCTTCCCAGAAAAAACAAGCAGTGATGCCAAGTATCCACATGTGCGAGACACAATGCTGGGATTTCTGAGTTGCTGGGTTCCTCTTTCATCTGATGTCAGTGGGTGTCTCTGCTGCAGACATGCTGCCCTCAGCTGCTGTCATCATTTTTCACTTCTCTAGTCACATGCTTTGTCTAAAGCGTGAATCCAAGAGACATACTGTATGCCACTCACTTGTTCGCTGACTCATTGATCTGTTTTTTTTCTCACACAAGCAAGTGATAGACATTCACACACTCCACATGTATACTTACATATGCAAGCAGCAGCCAGCAGCCTGTTGGCCACGTAAGGAGCTATACAGGTGGGGAAAATGGGCTGCACCATGTAGTTGGAAAATGTGATGGCGATGACGGCTTGGCTTGTTGGTTCGATGATCAGCAGCGACGTCCACAGACGGATGAAAGCTAAGAAACCCCCGAAGGCCTCCAGGATGTAGGCGTAGGAGGCCCCTGACTTGGTTATGGTGGTCCCCAGCTCAGCGTAGCACAGGGCGCCAAACACGGAGAAGATGCCACCAATGGTCCACACCACCAGAGAGAGGCCATAGGAGGCGCTGTGGATGAGGACGCCCTTCGGTGAGACGAAGATCCCAGAGCCAATCATGTTGCCCACGATCAGGCAGACCCCATTCAGGAGGGAGATCTCCTTCTTCAGCTTCATGGACTCCTCAGAGCCTTCAGATTTCAGAGACGGGGGGCCACCGTTGGTAGGCTCCTGTGTCGGGACAGGGCTGGAAGCCATCGTTTGTTTTTTTGGTGGCTTATTTATTATGTATCAAATTGTTCTGAATGAAATTTCAGTGGCTATTTGAGTTTTTCACGTTGAAGTGAGGCTGAAGATTTTAGTTTTTTCACCAGTTATCGATGATAATCTCCTGCCATCTGTGGACGCAAAGCAGTGTCATATTAGTGATGCTGTTACCATGGAGATTCATTTGTCAGAGCATGCGTAGGGCAAATACTTCTTTCAATTCTGTCCAAATCTAGTCAAGCAAAAACACATTTACATTCTATAGACATTAATGTAGGGGCAAATATGAAAACAAAACATTACCACACTAGTGTGGAAACTACTATATATGAGAGCAGTTTTGTGGACTGGACAGCCATTAGGTCGCCAAGCAAATAACCTTTTAAGGTTGAGTGTATTGACAGAGAGAGAGAGAGAGAGAGGAGCAAACACGCCACATGCCTGAGAACACTGTCTCCTCATTAGTAACCACAAGCCAAGGATGATTTACTAACTGATACACACACGTTTTGACTCATGGCCATCCACTTATACATGCAATATAGTTTGACTGTTAGCAAAGAGGCTGGTCACATGATTTCCAAAGTTCATCATCTTTGGCAAGTATGGAGTCTGAGACAGACGCATCATGTTGGGGTTATATGTTCATTCTGCATGACTGAGGTCAGAGAGTTAATGGCACTTTGTGCTAATGAGCTTCAACTTTTCAGTGTAATGTATAAACACAACTTACTAATAATTGCCTTAAATTTAATGAAATGTTAATGGAGGAATGAGAAATAGAGCACTGCATAAAGGCCAGATTTTCAGTGGTACTACATTTAGCACATCATCAAAAATGGCAAAGTCTGCTGAATTAAAATGCATTTTCTGTCGTGTTTTTTACAAAAGTCTGCATGATTTAAAATTGAAAACATCCCTTATCACCCAGGATATATCTGTTTGAACAGTAAGTTCAGATGCAGTTGTTTCAAGGTGATTTCAGTGACTGTCTGCAGCGTTTACCTAATGACATTTTGTTATCTTTTTCTACCTTCTGGCTCTTTCTTAAAGCTGTTGAGGCTGTAAACTAATAAAAGAATCTCATGGTCTGCTGCAGCATTTCTTGACAGACTGATCAAAGTGAACAGTGATTTAGATTCTAGAAAAAAGCTAACAAATGCAGAAATCAAATTCATATTTGTATATCTCACAACAAAAGTCATCTCAGGACACTTTACAAAGTAAGGTCTAGACCTTACTGTTATCAATATTATTACATAGGGAAAACCCAACAAATCCCCCTTGAGCAAGCACTTGGCGACAGTGGGGAGGAAAAAGTCATGCCTCAGATATTTGGATAGAAAGAACAATGAGAACATGAGAGACCCGGGGGGGATAAAAGATCTTCAAGGTCAATGAAGTAAACCTGTGCCCAGCATGCACAAGGACACACTTCACTGCAGCTCAAACCAGATTTTTAAAATTCTGATTAGAAATAAACATGACAAGGTGAAGCGTTAGGAGAAGGAAACAGCGACTGAGAAGCTCAGATACCTTGAGACAGCAGTAGATCAGCAGCACGTGGGTTCAGGAGCGACTGCAAAGGAGAAGGACAGTAGTTTTAGCTTCCCTGCATGTGATCAAACCTGCCAGAGACACTGAGAGGTGAGGCTCTCACAGAAAGAAAGTGCAAAGTCCAGAAGTTGCTGATAAATGGGCCTTCATGAGTTACTCAAGGTTACATCCTGGACTGTGAAAATCCTCTTTTATCAGGTGTTCAGTGAAATGATTCAGCTTCCATTTCAAAATACGATTACAGTATTGATCAATGAAGCTTTTAGGAGGGTTTTTATGTGGGGGCTTGAATTAGATGAAAGGTGTGATATCACCTGGTGCATTGTGCCCAGCTCCTGCCTAACCTGTACCACTAACTCTAAAAATGTTATTCTGATTTGTCAAAAAGAGATATTTAGACCAAATCCAGGAGACCTGCCTGGAAAAGCCTCTTCTAAACTCACTGCCACGTTCATTTACCTCTCATTTTATCTAATTTAGGGGATGCAGTTTTAAATACATTCCTAAAGAAACGCAGAAATGTTAACAAATGATGAATGCACGGTGGAGAGGTTGTAAACCAGGCTGTAACTGTCTTCTGTGACTGCTTCACCTACATGAATCACCAGTGCAGCCTAAATACCAGCTGTCACGGGGGACTCACCTTCTCCAGACGCGTCTCAGTGTCCAAAACGTCCGGCAGCAGTCTTGACTGTTTCAGACTATTTATTCACTTCTCCTCTCCGGGACCGTGTCATTGTTCTCTCCCTCCGTTTCTCTCAGTAATAAGGCTCTGTCTTGACGCTGCTAGTGTTCCTCCCCTGCGCTCCTCAGCTGATGTACTTGTGGCTTTTATGTACTTCTGCTTACTACCAAGGAAACGGAGCAGACATGGAGGGCAGGGGGGGGGGACGTAATTTCCTCGTATTGTGTCAGCTGAGTGAGTTTCGCCCTGAAATTATAGGGTTTTAATTAAATTAGCGAGCTCATCAAACAGCTGTCATCCATGTGGAGAGCTGGGCTTTTCTCCATAGTCCGTTTAAGGACATTATTATGCAAATAGAAAGAGAGAGAGAGTCCTTTTGATAATGAACTGCCAATCAGGAACCGACACTAGAAGTCAACACACGGATTTTGCTTTTGGCTTTAATAAGTGTATTGCCTGCTTGAAGAAGTGATACTCTTCTAATATGAGAACAACTTGTAATCTCTAGAATCAATGGAGGATATTATTCACCGTTTAAGTTTGATTAGTGTTATCTGTCCCAAATAATAGAAGACGTTTAATAAATGAAACCACATTCAGTGTCACAGTGAGAGTCAGCTGATGGTCATTTCTGTGCAGACTGAGAATAATAATGGGCTAATAAAAGTAATGTTATTATCGATATATAGTAAATCATCAAGTGGGTGTCGTTAAATACTGTTTATATATGTAATTTGGCCTGTTTGATGGAAAACCAAATTATGATCAGTAGCGCCCTCTTGTGGATTTCAACGATACTGACAGACGTGAACTTAGTTTATATTGTTCACAGGCCATTTTACTGCCTCCCACTGAATAAAGTAACATCCCTAGATTGTGTTTTTCAGCATATTTAATTCCAGTTCACCTAAACTTTATTAATTCAGAAGATCTGCACAGCTAGACAGTGTATTAATCACACAGACACGCTAATTATAATAGTCAGAAATAGAATTTAAAATGTCAAAATGTAGAGCTTTAAATTTAGTCCCTTGGGGGAACTTCACTTTTTCGTGCAAAATGTACAAGGACACTGCAGAAAGTTGAGGCTGTGATGGAAGCATTAGACTCAGTACATGAAGTCTGCACTACATAACACTTCTTTGTCCTTAGCTGGTGTGTGGATGCTGTTGTATTCCAGTAAAATGAAAGATATTACAGGCAAAATCAAACTAATTAATGGCTGATTAAACTACTTCTTTGGCTATTGATTCTTCATTATTGGAAGACTACATATGTTTAAAGATATGTCTTCTTTTTACTGAAGAGGACTGACATCTGCACAGAACTGATCAATGATCATTGATGAATGATAAATGAGCCAAATGTAATCAAAGCCTACACCCATCGCAGCACACCTGTGGACTTCTGTATGCACCTCCCCCTCCTCACTTCTTTCTTAAGCTTAAAACCTTTCAAATGACTTTCCTCCCTTTTTTTGTCTTTGCTGTGTTTTTGATTGAGACACATCCCTTGTCGCTCACAAACGCATGTGGACAAACTTCTCACACATGGCTCCTTTCACTCCTTTTGTCCTGCTCTCTGCCCTGGGCATTCTTTTCCTTGGTTACTGGTTGTCATGGTTTCAGGAGCCCCTGTAGGCTAAAAACTGGAGGGGATTAAAGGCAGCCATTTTGGGGACAGCTGGGCCAGGTTAGTCCCTGTTACTCCCTGTCCTGCTCCCAGTCACTCTGGGGGGAAGAGGGGTGTCATTGTGTGAGGATTAGAGCTTCCTGTGTGTCAGCTCATTACAAGGGTGGGGGAGTATATGGGTGAGGGGGTGAGTAGAAAGAGTGAGGGAGAGAAATGAAAGAGAAAATGAAAGAGGGTGCATATGAAAGAGAG